GCTGTTGTACTTCCCGTTCCAGTTACGTGTGTGCTAAAAATTCATTAAAAATAGGCGAAAATAATTAGTGGTTAAAGCAGGGTTGCCATTAAAAAGTTGATATGCCATGCGCGTGACTATTTAAGTAAAAATCAAAGACCATAAAAATGTGTATTTTATGTCAGTCGAACAACTACAAAACAGAATTCAAATATCAGGTCTCTGCGAAAGATATGAATGCTCGATTACCGTACACACTGTATATATTATATTATATATATCATGTTCTCGCGGTGCCCGCCAACCATATTGGATGAGTTTATTATTATGGTTTCGGTGTCCGCGGATTGAGAAACAGACAAAAAATGTCAGTGGATAGTAGTATATGGTAAATAGTAATTTTAATGTCGTGTTTGCTATCATCCTCGGAAAACCGATCGTTTTAACTTCTTTAATTGCCAATAACGTTAAACGTCGGAGGAGGGGTTACGTTATCGCATTCAGCGGCATTGGCTGTTACAGCGATAAAATTAAAAATATTAAAATAAACTTCCCGTGCGTGTAATAGGCAACAGCTCGGCCGCCCGTAATGTATCGCACTGATAATGAATAATTATGTTATAACGATGTACCTAATATGTAATAAATTAAACAAAAATTATCGTAACCATTAAGCATTGCGAGCACGGCGACCGGACGAACGACCGACGAGAAACGCGTTGTTGTCGAACACGATAATATTATGCCGATATCGTAAAGCACTTCAAGCTCATTTCACCGCAGGGCACGTGACGTTCGGTTCGATTCCTCCTCTCCGTTGCTAAAAAATATCGACATTCGACATCGTTTGTCCGGTCAGTCGTCGCACACTGTCGAGATCGTCATGTCCGTTGTTTGCGACGGACCAAAACCACCGTCGAACGTCTCCAAGCCTTCGGTCTTCAACCCTATGCCGGTCACACTCGGTCCCGAAATTTCGGTATAGGATGGAAGTGAACGAAGAAAGACTATACCTATGGACAGTTTGCTGCTCTTTGTCTGTGTTACTACTATGGTAGGTACAACACTGGATGCTTGTGTTACGTGATTTGAGTCAAATTCCTCTTGTAGCTATTACAATTTTATTAGGTAGGTATATTTTAATATTACCTACCTTAAAATGGCATACAACACGCTTGTAGTTGTTGTCGATTTTGATGCGCTAAGGTCAATGCGACAAATTAATTCAATTTGTGATGTGAGTGCATTAAATACACAATTTTTTACCTTTTTTTCAAAAATATTCAGAGCAATTTATTTGTTTAATCTTTTTTTACAAGCATTGTCATAATATGCCATCAAAGCATTTATAAAATATCTATAATACATAAAATATTTTATCATCTGTTGATTACTATTACAAATTTAATATTAGTATTTATTATCAAGACTTGGCCACTTAGGATTTTAAAACTACTCATTATAATTATCTCAAAGAAATGTACGGATAGTGTTTAAAACTGTTTCATATTCAATAAGTAATTGAATATTTTTAACTAATAATTAGTAATTAAAAACTTAGTTATTATATAATTAAATATTGAATTACTAATTAAATATAAAATTGTTATGATTTCTGATTGCTTATGAACAGGGCTCGGGACTTAGAGCATTTGCTTATTTTTATAGATTGATTTAAAATGTAGCAAAGTGGTATGGTAGTTTATGTCATGTTACAATACGTTCAATTATGGAATTTGAAAGTGCTTTTTTTAACGATTTTTCAAAAAAAATACTTATTTTCAGTTTTTCTGATTATTTTTGCTTTTTTGACCAGTTTTTTTTTACTGTTTATTGTTTTTTCCTGCAATTTTGTTTATGATAGAATAAATAATAATAAGGCAAAATGTCTTGATAGTGAAGTTTGATTTTTTTATAATGTAAAGAGTTATTTATTTTTTTTTTGATTTTTTAGTTAAAAGTTTTCCTAATTATTTTTTTTGATATTTTTGTAATCTTTAATTAAATTATTTTTAGCACAGTTACAAATTATGTCTAGTACCTTAGTTCCTACTTTATTATGTAAAAGAAAGTTTTTTTTTTTAATTCTTAAATGTTTTTGCTCAAATTTAAATTTTTTAAATATTTATTTGAGTGCTTATAATGATGTTTTTTAGCGCTTATTTTAATGATTTTAAGTGCTATAAGTTCTGAGCCTTGTTTATGAACTATGATTGTATGAAAACATACATATCTCTTAAAATTTAAGCTATAGATAGGTGCAATGAAGTTGTAGAAAAATTAAATTTCCAAAAGATTTTGTTTGTTTAAATATAATTTTTAAGTTATTTTTAATCAATTCTAAATTAGTATAAAATGTATATAGGTAATAGAATTACATTATTTTATTATTATTTTTTTGTGTAAAATGGTATAAGTACTTTAGTACTTAGATATATTAATTCTTAAATCATTCTTTCTTTTTTATATACAGTAATTACCTATAATAGTATATTGAAATAGTGACTTAAATCATTGTGGTGTTAACTTTCATCATAATGACATATAATTGTCTATTAATTTAATTATTTTAATAAGCATTTACATGCTTTATATTAATAAATTGTATTTATTATAGATGTAACTTATTAAAATATTTTAAATAAAATGTAATCCAATTGTAATTCAGTTTAAAAAAATAAACATTTTAACAATTTCAACATTTAACAGGCAAATATTTGTAAGTGAATAAAGGTCAAAACATTTGAGTAGGTAGGTTCTCCTCCTAGTTTTAATATTATTTTAAGTGGTCTTTTGTGGTATCCCCTTAACAAGTAGTTATTAAATATGTTTTGAATATGATGAATTATTCATTTAGATAGTTAATATCTCAATAAATATTCTATCTTTTATTAAACTATAATGATTATTATTTTGTTGTCATCATTTTAATGAACAATAAGTTCTAAAATAGAGTTTAAGACTGTCTATGTGAGTAATTCATTAATACTTATATTGTAGTTGTACAGTTATGCTATTATTTGATTTGGTTAATTGTTTTTATTGTATCCTATAGTTAAGTATTCAGTTATTTAAAACCGAGCATTCTGCATAAATCCTAAATTAAATTGGTTAAAATTAAGATAAAATTAGTAATACACAATTTTATTCATAGTTATAATTTAATAACTATTCAATAACCTGTGATTTATTTTTATAAATTTTTAAAACAAAATACAAATTAATAATACTGTAAATAAATATTTTTCAGAATTAGCCAACAAATTAGGAAAGTGATTAACAGCAATGAAAAGTGGTAAGAAAATTTTATTTTTTATGTATTATTTATTTTCAGTATTTCTTTAACTCTTTTAATTAATTTATCATACTAAATAATGACTCAATAAATAAATAGTTACTTATAAAATTCTGTAATTTTTTATATCTTATAGTTTAGTAAAAAACAAAACATAGTGTTTTGAATAAAATGTATTAAAAATGTTAAAGTTGTAAATTTTAATTGTATTTTACTAGTATAGGAATTCAATTCATATTTATTAAAAAAAAAAAAATCACATTATTTTAACAATAATATACTTTTAGAAAGTAGGTTTAGGTATTATCATGTGTATAAACATAAAAATAAGTTTTAAATTGTTTTTTTCAAAAATAACAGTTCAATGTATTTATTTTTTTTATAAATTTATTAAAGTTATTTCATTATTTAATGCATTTTTTTTGTTGTTTCAAAATGTTATTTGTTATATTTTTTAAGATGTTGTTTAATTAATTTAGATGAAATTTCAATGTTTTATTTAATACTAAAATAAATATGTCAGTAACAATAAATATAAAATATTTTTGTTTAGTCAATTAAATATGCAAATGATAAAATGATTAAACCAAATATGTTGGTTTTTACTTTATAAGTTGAATATCCATAAAAAATATATAAATGCAATTAATAAATTTACTACACATTAGTTCAAATTATAAAATTTATTAAAAATGGTTATACATTATACATAGGTATATGATATTTATGTATATAGGTAATAATAATACTATTGGTATGTATGATTTATAAGAATTTCCTAATGTGGTACTTATTAACATAAAGATAAAGTATTCTGATAAGCATTCTGGGTAAACTGTTGTTTACACAATACATATCTAAGAAACAAATGCTGTTAAAATTAAAAATCTATACAATTAAATAATATATGCTTATATTCTTAGTTTCTTATTGATTGTGTGATGTTAAAATATTTTGATTTTTTTACTAATTTATTTAATTTTAAATAAATAAATAATTATATTATTATATTATACTAAATTTATCATTATGTTTATTGGGTTTAAATTTTAAATACTTTAATGTGTATATTTACTTCCATAATACATTTTATCTTTTTAGCTTATTTGTTTAGTTTAAATACTGAATAGAAAAGTGCTCATGCTTTGATTAGTTGACGATAACCAAATAATAAAAAAAAAATAAAATAAAAAAATGAGCAAATAATGAGACTCAAAATATCTATGGGTAATATTTATTTTATTAGTATTTACTATTTATTATACTACAGTATATTTGGCTTTTCTGTTATTTTTGCCTCTTAAATAAGTTCAGTATTACTTATCATAAATAATTTACATCATAAAGCAATATTTGTTATTCCATTGAAAATTACTTTTGAAATTATGGTTTTTATGTTGTATATTCTTGAGATCCTATCTCTATTGTTATCCATTAACAATTCTATTAAAAAAAAAAAAAAAAAAAAAAAAAAAAAAAAACAAATACAAATAATTCATTTCAAACAATTTGTTTTTAATTTTAGCTTAGGAAGGCAATTTTATGTAACCCCTCTTTAATTTTATTTTTTACTAAACTACAATCAACATTATTTCATGATGAGTTAGTTATATATTATATTTTAATATTTCTGTTATTAGCTTAGCTCTTGAAAGTGAATTTATAATTCTTTAATTTTGATTTATTTTAATATGACATTCTTAAATATATTACATATTAATATGTTGTTTACAAGATCCAATCATCTAGAAAAAATTCATAAAATAAGAAGAGTTTATCCATCAAAAAAGAGAGGTCAGTTTTATGGAAAATTTGGTTCTTGAAACAATTTATTTTCATTCTTCTATTAATTTATTTTTATTTTTTAATTAACTTTACAATATACATATTAATTAACATTAAAAATACATAGTAAAATTTCTTAACTAATTTTTGTTAAATTAAATATTGAATTGTGTTATTTTTTATGTATAGTTATTTTACATTTATAGATACCTACTTTATGTATTAATTATAAATAACAATTGTTATTTTGTTTCTTTTTACTTTATTTCATTTTGTGTTATCGCAGAAGTGTAGATTAAAAAATCTAAATAATCAAATGAATAAAAAATAAATAGTACCAGTTTAACAATAATTATAAATACTAAAGAATTTATATATGTTTTATACTCTGATTATTAACAATATTAATAAAATTAATTTTTTACAGATATTTTATATTTTAGCCGACCGGGCATTAAAAAAAATGCCATATTAACCTTTTGTATTGGTGTAATATTTGGTATATTTTTTGCTTATACTACAATATCCATTACTGAATGCCATTTCAAAGATATCAAAATACTTCCATCGAAGTTTTCATATGATTCAGCTAGATACCATGATCCTCATTCACATGGACATGATAATGAAGGTTCATTCAATGATTCAGTCATTATGAAAGACCATGGGGAAAATGAGACATTGCATTTTCGTAAGTTCAACTAACTATAATTTTTAGATAATTTTTGTACTTGGCAACCAGATATTTTGTTGTAAAATCAGAACTAATTTTACAAAAAAATATGAAAGTGATGAGATGATGAGATGTTGTCTTAGGTTATATTGGTCACTAATGAGGAAAATTAAATATTTAAAATACTCAAGAACAACTAATAATTATAGGAACAAAAATATTAGGTGTCTAAGGTGGAAGAGAACAAGATACCTTCAGAAAATAAGCGATAAATGATAAAAATTTATGTTGAACTCTTTCAACTACTAGTGAATTTAAATTCAATTGAGGGTCTCAAAGAACAGACTCATACTTAAAAATAGCTTTAAATAAGAAGCATTCAATTAATCTTTAGTTTATGGTTTAATTAGGAATTGGAGGAGATGCGTTCTAATAAAACTGAGTATTGTAAGTGCATTATAACACATCCTCTGAATATTATGTAGTGTAAATGGCCATTTAGAGTTTAGTTTTAGAAAGTAGAAACCTAGGTTTTGCATAAAATCACTAAATGTAATTGGAATATTATTAATGGTATATTGGTATATTTGACAATATTAGAATGATTGTTTAAAAGCAAGATATTTTAATGTATTTAGAGATATTAAGGTACAGTCTTAGGGATTGACTTCAATGGACCAAGAGGTCAAAGTCAGATTCGAGAAGATTAGTTTTTACAATAAGTTTCGTATTTTTAGTAAATATAGTGAGGCGACTATGATGAAAGATTGAAGCAGCACCATTAATATGAAGTAAAAGCATTAACAATGAAAGAGTAGCACCCTTAATTATACCAGATAAAAGGGTATTGATGTTGTATATATTATATACTAACATGTAATTTAACATTTTGTTTATATATTATGAGGAGAAATAACTTAGAGGCATTGAGAGTGACTATGGAGATAATGTAGAAAGAAAGAGAGGGAGTAGACTAAAAAATAAATTGATAGAAAATGGCATGAAAATAATAAAGAAGAGATGACTTTTAAAGGCTGAAGAAAATGTAGGACCATCTCATATAGTTTAGAGCACAAGCTGAATAAAAATGACTTGTCAGTGCTAATTGAATATGTGCTCTACAAATGTTCTCGTTCCTCACTTTGTGTAAGCTTATTGGTTAAACACAGTATTTTCATAATTCAATTAGCTTTTAGCTATTATTTGTTTCTGATATTTATAAGTATTTCACTGTAATTTTTGTATATTATTCATTAATGGCTAATATTTTGTTTATGTTGGTGTTTTTTCATGAATTTTATTCTACAGTAATGTCAAATGAGATAACATGTTTACTAGTTTTTAGTAACAAAGAGGTTAATAAAAAGCTTTTATTCTGTAAATGAGCATCTTATAAACTAAGGTTCTGTACATAATACTGTAAATTACCAAACATCACATGTTGATCTAAACATGGATCCCACACTTAAGACATTAGGTCATGGTTAGTTGCTTAACTTATATTTTTGAAGAAAATGAAGTTTTTCTCTTAATAATTTCTAGTCCCACCTCGATTGCTGCTAATGGTAACTTTACCATAAAACAGTATTGTCCTTTTTCTCACCTAAGATATTCAAAACACGAATAAAAAAATAGAATAAAATTTTTTATCATAATATACATACTTTATAAAATATACATTAATATGAAATACCAAAGTAAACAATATATATAGAGCACTTTCTGAAATAAAAACTCATTAAAATTATGATATCAGGATAATAGCGTGACGTTTAATTAAAATTGTTATATTTACTGACCTAACTTGACATAAAGTTAAGTAGAATAACTATTTAAATATTAGTACTATCCTGTTTAAATTGGGATGTTTAAGTTCACAATATTTCATTATTTTTTAAATTGTAGATGAAGATCTTGTGGCTCAAGAGCTTAAAAAACGAATTAGAGTTCTTTGTTGGATCATGACTAGTCCTAGTAATCATATTAAAAAAGCAAGACATGTAAAAGCCACATGGGGTAAACGTTGCAATACATTACTTTTTATGAGCACTGTTGAAGGTTTGTATATTACCATACTACTTATTTAAATTAAATTAATTTAATCTCATGATTTAGATAAAAGCTTACCTTCTATTGCATTACCAGTTAAAGAGGGTAGAGAATACCTTTGGGGCAAAACTAAAGAAGCATTTAAGTACATCTTTAAACATTATAATGATTATGATTATGTATTGAAAGCTGATGATGACACGTATGTAAAATTATATTTTATATTTTCAAATGAAATATTGTAACATATCTGTATTGTACTGGTTAAAAGTAAACACCATTTATTATAAAAAGGTTTTAAAATATCACGCATTTGTATATTTCTTAGGAAGCTGTACATTATATACCTGATTTGACACAAATTTGTTTCATACAATTAAAATTCAAAAAATCATAATTTATATTTTTTAAATTTTATCATATTTAAGTGATTTTGTTTATTTAAGGATTTCATTTTTAATAACTCATATTTTGTTAGCAAATCAACAAAAAAAAATGTTGAACAGTAAACCTTTTACTTCAGTGGTGACCAAATTTTTTTTGCCATGCCTAAAATTTGAAATTTCCCCTTAAACTTTAAAGTTATTAGAATTTTAGGTATAGGTATACAAATAAGTTCTGTATTAAATAATGGCAGGCGTAGTTTGGCCACCACTGTTTTACTACATATAAGGTCATCAATGACCAGTTCCTTTATCTGTTGTTATCTCAATAATTGATAAATATTTGTACTTTATTATGGTAAATATACACTACCAAATGTATAATTATTTGTTTTTTAACAAAATTATAACATGAAAAAATCATTAAATCCGATGAATAATTATAAAGAAGTTTAAATAAAATATAGTTAACATCTCACTATAGATTTAATATTTATTTTTTGCTGTACATATCCATTTCATATTAATATTTATAGTTAAATTAAAAGTATAATTTTTTCATAATAATAAATAATAAAAAATTCAATGCATAAGTATTTTTGAATATTATACGTTTGTTTAAGCTTATTCCTAATTAAATATTGCATATATACTATTTAATTTTTAATTTTTTTATGCATATATTTTATTGCTTTTAGCTAATAATGTTCAGGTTAATAAACCTCTGTTTATAATAAGTACTAGCCGACCCGTCACAGCTTCGCCCGTGATTGGTTTTTTATTTTGCCTTCGGACCATGATATGTAGAATTTTTTATTCAAATATTATTGTTTAATGTGATCGGCAAGTAAATATAAAAAACGGTTAATGAAAACGGATTGAAATTTTTCTAGCGTTATAAATGATAAAAATAATAAAGATAAAAAAGAAATAATTTATGGTTGATAAAGAACTTTATTGAAGTTGAAGAAAAAAAAGAAAAAAAAAGAATTAAAATAAGAATTTTATAAGACTTCTGAGTATATCATGTTTTTTGTTATATTTCCTGTTGAAATTAAAATATTATCGTAATATTTATTAATTAAATTAAATTTATTATTACAATTTAGATAGCTTTAATGAGTTATATAATATCACTAACGACAATCCATAATATTTCAAATTAAAATTTTAACTATTTAATATTTATAATCATTAATTAATATTTTAGGTATATACCTAATAATTTATTTATTAATAGTATTGATAGTAATTTGTTGATGGAATGATTATTTATTATTATTTATGTTTAAAGTTTTATAAACATAGTAACTTAGTGATAATATATTTATTTAACAAGTGTATAATATGTTATTTAAAATTTATTATTTGCATATTTAGCTTTCAAATATTTCAATTAATACCCCCTTTGCCTTTCAAATGGCTTTAACCCGTGTATTAATGGTATGTTTTGTAGATAGCGTAACTTGATATAACAGAAAATTAATCATTCTATTTACTTTATAATGGTATTTTAATTCTTTAATAGTGCATTATTAACATGATAATTATTTTATAGCTAAAATAAATCAGCCAGTGTTTAATAAAAAAACATTTTAACACTTATTTTTTTTTATAATTATTCACAGGTATGTTATAGTTGAGAACTTGAGGTATATGTTAACTTCATTTAACCCAAAAGATCCAATATTCCTAGGTTGTAGATTTAAACCCTATGTTAAACAGGGATACATGAGTGGCGGTGCAGGTAATAAATACCAAGTATATTTTGTAGGTTAATAACAGACACTTATTAAAGCATTAACTATAAGTATTGTAATTGTAGTATATTATTAAATATATTGAATATTGTTCTTATATTTATTAAGAATATTTAAAATTAAAACCATTTATAATATTGTTATAATTTAATTTATGTAAATCCATTTAGGTTATTTGCTAAGCAAAGAATCAGTTAAGAGGTTTGTTGAAAAAGCTATACCTCATAAACAATGTCGGCAAGATAATGGTGGAGCTGAAGATGTAGAAATTGGTTAGTTAATTTTTATTAATAAATAAAAATGTTTGGATATATAAATTTTAAGTGTATATATTTTCTTGGTGGAGGTGTTTTTGACTTATCAACATAAATTATGTCAAATTCTCATAATATATATATATATAGAATTGGGTACATAGTTATTAAATAATTATTTTTATTCATTAGATCCATTTTATTATCTCCACAAAAAATGAAATTATAATTAGGATAATTGTGAACAATGTACTAACGCACTGAATATATAAGTATATTAAAATATTAATACAATTTTATATAAGTATATTTTTTTAGGTATTTGTCTTCAGTTAGTTGGAGTAAAAGCTGAGGATACTAGAGATAGTTTAGGTCGTGGTCGTTTCTTTCCATTTATTCCAGAACACCATCTTATACCTGGACATACAGATCCAAGTTTTTGGTACTGGAAATATATTTATTATCCAATAGTAGAGGTAAAAACAAAAAAAAAACATTGATAGTATACTAAATAATTTTAGTCAGGTTTTTTTTTTTTTTTTATTAATTTTTTCATTATTTTTAGGGTATGGATTGTTGTTCAGATACTGCGATTTCATTCCATTATGTTAATCCTAATAATATGTATGTGCTTGAATATCTAATTTATCATTTACGGCCGTATGGAGTGACTCAAAATATTGATCAAGCTATTGTAAACAAAATTTATCTTAACAAGGAAAGTAATGCTACTAAGACTGAACAGCCAACAAATAAAACACAAAATGTATAAACTTAAATGAAATGTTCTTAAGACATTTTACTGTGATTACAGTTGACTCTTATATTGTATATTATTTATTATTATATTTATATACAAACTAGAATAATTAGTTCCATGCCATTTACCCATTCTGTTAGTGTACAGAATATTTTTACTAGTCAATAACTTGTTGGCAAATCCTAGTCAATTTGCTCATAAAGTTCTTATTGATGGAACTTGATTTCTTGAATTTGTTTTTCTTATTATCTAAATGAACATAATTATTATGCACCATATTTATTTATTTCTGTGGTCATTTTTGTTAAATTATAAAATAAAACGTTATATTATAATGTATCTTAATTTAATACATTTTTAAATGTTATAAAATGAACCAAAGATATTATTTTATACTTGCTTATAAATGTCGCTAATAATATTTTTTTACTATTAGTGAATTTTTTGTTTATTAATAAACAATAAAATTGTTCTTAAATGTAATTTATAGTAAATATACTACATATTCTTGTATTGAAAATAAAGGGAATTTATATATTCAAATAAACTGTGATTTATTTTTAAAAACAATGAATATTAGTTTAGTTAAATTTGGTCTAGATATAAATAGTGTTATTGTAAATGTATTTAAAAAAGTTTAACATTTAGTATTGATTTTTCGTTTATTTATATATACATAAACATTGAACTTGAAATTAATTTCCATTTGAATTAAATATTTAAATGTTTTTATTGCACTTGTTAATATATATATATAGTATGTGCAGATTATATTACTATTATTTTTCCAATCTGCTTATTCATATACACAATAATAAACAATACTTGAATAGGAAAAATTTGAAAGGGGTGGGGGGGGGGGGGGAGGGGGGGGAAAAAAGGGGGGGGGGGGGGGGGGGGGGGGTAAAGACGTGTAAAATAAGGGTACTTGAATATTTAAGGTCTGTTTTAGTAGAATATATTAGAAAGGGATATTGGTAATACGCCCACTCTTGTTTCTCTTAATTCAAGTATTGGTATTAAAACGTTAAACTTTGGTTTGAGAAACACTTTTATTTCCCTCTCCGTGTGCTTGGTAAATTATGTATATTATAATATAATAAAACGATTATATATAGGATATAGCGAGCAAATTAGTCAATGTTATCGCATGGTGAGAATTTGTAGGAGGGAGTTTGAAAAATGTAAATTTATTTAAAAGTTGAATCGTTTATTTTTAAAAAATGTCTTGATATTTTTTTTTTTTTGGTGGGGGGGGTCAATTCCTAAAAAACTTACTGCTTTCTCTCCGATACGTATATAATAGAGGTGGCCTAACGAGGCTTGCGAGCCGCATGCGGCTCTTGAACCAAGCTCCGCCTAAAATTAATAAATATATAATTCCGTTAAAATCGTTAAACAGTGTTTTTATTTCCGTAATGATAGTTGTGACAGTGTTTTTTAGTATGTATAGCCAGAAATAGTCATGGTATGTTTCAACCTAAAATTTTGGAAAAATGTTCCAGAAAAAAATACCCACTAACATAAGAGTGTGCTAGAGATTTATTTCAATCTTTGGTACTACTTATGTCATATGTGTGTGAATCATTGTATTCAACGCTTAAATTCATTAAATCTAAATATCGATTTGAACTAACTGATGAACATGTAAGCGAACTTGTGCAAACTGCGCAGTGCGCTTACCAATTATCAGCTAGATTTCAAAAAACTTACAGAAATAATGAACACTCGAAAAAACACTTTTTACAAGTATAACAACAATAATGTCAATAATAATGTTTTGTGTAGTGTAAAAAATAAATGTTCCTTCATTTAGTTAATTTGACCATTAATTTTATTTCCAATTGACTCTAACAATAACCATATATGTTAGCGCCATCTAGCAGGAAAAATATTAGTTTCTATCGTGAGCTGTTCTTCGTGTTAATAATATAATTTATTATACATTATGGTGGACAGTAGCTACACTGCTGCTATCTTTAATAAATCTTATTGTAATGATTGTATATTTGCATCCAATATTCTAATATCTATTGATGTTTCTTATCGTCCTGTGTGCTACACAATAGTTATGGTTAATTTAACTCCAATTACGTGTAACTTAACTTAACCTATTGTCCGTATACTTCATAGATTTTATACTTAAATACAATATTTCGTAATATTTATTGTATGTTTAATTCATGAATTAAATTATTTGCCTTGTTAAAATATTTAAAATTAAATCTTTATGAAGTTATAAGAAGTCTAGATAAATTACAAACATCAAGATGCCAGAAACGGAGGTTCAAGACGGGAGTCAAACCCAACGGCTGACTAATGCAGATTTTAGGCGGTTACTTATGACCCCTAGGTCAAGTCATCCATCTGCCACTCCATCACTCTCCAATGCAAGTGAAACCTCATCTTCCAAAACACCGTCTACATCAAAATTTGAAACTGGTGGTTCAAATGACAAAGCAGAGCTTAGACGTAAAAAAAAAATATTCTATGCTAAACTCAAAAAACAAGAAGAAAATAAAATGGCTGAGCTTGCCGAGAAGTATCGAGATAGAGCCAAAGAACGTCGGGTTGGTGCTAATCCAGATTATCAGTCTCAGGATCCCGTTGCTGTTGCCAGTGGTTATAGAGCTGTAGCACCAGATATGAAATCTGGTTTGGATGCTGCCGAACGTAGACGTCAGATGATTCAGGAATCTAAGTTTTTGGGTGGAGATATGGAACACACTCACTTGGTCAAAGGTTTAGATTATGCTTTGTTACAAAAAGTCAAAAGTGAAATTACTGCAAAAGAAACTGAACAGGAAACTGAAATGGAACAGCTTGCAACTACTAAACCAATAAAAGAAAAAGCAAAGGAAGAAGATGATATGCAGTTTAAAACGAGACTTGGAAGAAATGTCTATAGGTAAAAAATAGTTTTTATTTTAAATTTAATTAGAAATTAAAATTCCTTTTTTTTATTTTAGAGTTGCATTGTCTGAAAATGAAATGTTTCGTAATCCATCATTTGCTCCTGGGCGTATGGCTTACATAATTGACTTAACTGAAGATATCACAGATACTGATATTCCGACAACACTAATTCGCAGTAAATCTGATGTACCAAGCATGGATGACAGACCCACATTGACTACAAATGATATTGTTATTAATAAATTAGCACAGATCCTTTCTTATTTACGAACTGGACCAAAACATTTAAAGAAATCAAAAAAGCGTGATAAACAAGTTTTTGATGATAACATATACCCTGAATTACCAGATTATGAACCGTCTACTCAAAAACGTTCTGAAGAAATCACTAAAAAACAATCAAATTACTTTAAACATTCAAAAGATGAAGAAAAAGAAGTAGAAACTGAACATCATAAAAGAGATGAAATGGGATGGGTGAATATATATATTTTATATCTATTAATAATTATTACTTATTGCCATAGCTCAAAGGTTTTTAAGTTAATATTGATCTAAAATATGCCAATAATTATGATCCAAGTGGGGTGGAAAATTGAACAAAAATAATAATGTATCATTATGGTAAAGGTATACTGTGATCATCAGACTATAACAAAAATATGGCATTATTAAAATAATTTGTTATAATAGAAAAATTTAAATTAAGTAAAAATATGTATTTGGTCATTTTTCTAAAATTCAAAAATTGCCAAAAATATACTGTTTAAATTTTTGTTTTCTAAGCTAATAATTTTATTGAATTAATATCTATCTTGATCTGCTATAAATCAAGTGTAATATAGAAAAATATGAAACTCCTAAGACTTCTGAGCTTTATGTAATATTTCTATAAATTCATGCCACATGAAGTCAATTATCTTACTTAAAACAATTTATTTGATTATTAATATGTATTATTATTTACTTTGTATAACTTTAAAAAGTATAAATATTATTGAATTAGATTATCAGTTCTAAAAAAAAAAAAACTATAATTATTATTTTCTAATAACATTATGCAACAATAATTTCTTGAATTTGACTGTAACATAATTTAAAAAAACACTGTATCAAACATAAGTTTTATTTTATTCTTAGCTCAATATAATTTTAATTTAGTTAATAATATTTCAATTATGTATTTTTATAGGAGGCATTGAGTAAAACAAAATTTCAACGCAAAAACCAAATGGGCTTATTATCTCGATTAGCAGCTGAACCCACTGGCTATGCTGAGTGTTATCCAGGATTGGATGAAATGCATGATGCGATTGAAGATTCAGATGATGAGGCTGATTATACAAAAATGGATCTGGGTAACAAGAAAGGACCAGTTGGTCGTTGGGATTTTGATACACCTGAGGAATATGGTACTTATATGAGTAACAAAGAAGCACTACCGAAAGCAGCTTTCCAGTATGGTGTTAAAATGACAGACGGACGACGTACACGTAAACATAATAAAGAAAAGAATGAAAAAGCTGAACTTGATCGCGAATGGAACAAGATTCAAAATATAATTCAAAAACGTAAAATTCCAGCTGGTAAAGATGAAGGATCATCATCATTTAAAGTACCTAAGTATTAGTTTAATCATCATAATAATATGGGATATTGAACAGTCAGTTTATTGTAATAAAAAATAAATAAATAAATAATAAACACAATATCATTAAATTTTAATTATATTGTACTTAAATTGTATCCAATTTTTAACTCCTTTCAAAGACATTAGTACAGGGATCATAACAGGCAAAAACAACGGAATATAAACAGCATATTTTTGATCATCCGGAAAATAGAGTAAAGCCAATAATGATGGATGAGTGAATGCAAACTCTGATGTTTCAAATGCTATTTTACTGTATTCCAATGCTTCTTCCAATTGTCCTCTCTCTAAACAGTGTAGTACTTTAGTAGCTGCTTCTACAGATTCAGTTACTGCTTTTCCAACTTCTTCAATTATTACTATATTACTGATTTCACCCAAAAGTCGAGACAAAGAAGTTAAAGTAATACGTGTATTAGTGTATTGTTCAATAATTTTTAGTCTGTACATTGAATCCAATTGCCATTTACGCAGAGTAGATGATTTTAATGGTATTAATGACATGTAATTGGACATATTTGGCACACCAATTAATGAATGGAACTGTGTGATGATGGGAGTCATAATACTGAGATCATCAGGTATGAAGCTTACCGATTCATTGCATGATAATTGATCGGCGTTTAGAAATTGAACTCCGCCCCAGCGAGCTGACATCATAGCAGTAGTTAATTGGTTGTTTTCATGAAAATATAAAGGTATATAAGAACAAGGGGTTACATAAATGACAAAATGTATACACGGATTTCGAGACACTCCAGAACCTAAAATAAGTAAATCACACAAATATTAACCTTGATAAATCATAACTAGTGTAAACCATTAAAAATACTACCTAATTTTTTTTCTAGTGGAGTAATTATATATTGAGCGTGGTTCTTATCTAATACAAATGTGGTGTTCAATTTTGGGGGTTTTTGAACCAAATCGATTAAATAAAGCCATTGAGATTGCACAGAAAAGTTTGAAATAAGTTTTAATTGATCTAGTAAAGGATGAAGGTAACCTAAAAATAAATTTAAAAAGCATAAAATAATTTAATATTAATAAAACTCATGTTTTCTTGAAACTAACGGTTTAAAGGTATTTCTGGCTTCCAAGCCACATGCAGCTTATCAGGTTCTGGATTTACAACAGTAAGAAGTACATTATAATCTGATGATGGTCTTACTCTACGCTGTCGTTCAGTTACTACTTGCTGGTCATCAGAATGATTACCAGGATTCAGCATCGATATCATTGAATCAGACAATGCATCTGTTTGTAAGAGTCTTATTAACGAGTTCATTAATAATTTAATGTCTGAAATACATTTCATGTGAATGAATATGGACAACAAATAATGGGCAAAATATATTAAGTTTACCTGTATTGAGAGGAAAATAAATATTGCGACCAATACCAACTATTATTTCATCTACACTATTGGTTTCAATTAGTTGTAATGATCCTAATGGAGTTATAACCATCTCCAATTCATTCAATGTGTGATCTGAATTAATGAGAGTGGAAGGTTGAGCATTGATAGAGAACATAGCTATAAAAATATGTTTAATTACACCAACATATTTTTTCAAGTATTTATTTTAGAATTACTTGAGTTGAATGTAGTATAAATTTGTTCAATAATACGTTCTGTTACATACGGATTTTTGGTATATACAAAAATGTCGGTAGAAATAACTACGTCCATGGTACCCAATTGTGAGATCTGTGCATATGGTAGAGTGTGACGTTGTACTTCTGTCATTCGCCACCATAGTGGTATTCCAATTACCAATAGTATAAATGCATAAACAGCCGCAGACAAATTCCTTAAGTCCTCTATAAAATAGCATTAATAATTTGTCCACAATTTTTTTAAATATAGCATATTACCATCATCTTCTTTATCAATTATTTCCCAAATTTCATCATTGCTGACATCATTTTTCAATGTTTCAACAGTATTAGTAGGCTGTTCGTCGTCCACTAATGTATCCATTCTAGGTAAATAATATAATAATTAACTATAGTTTTATTAAAAACAAAAGAAGAGGAATTAATTAATTGACAATTTATCATAGGAGTAACACAAGAATTTCAGAATAAAAAATATTTTTGTAATTGAATACATACTTAGCTAAGAGAAGGAAGTAAAAATGTTCTGAATTTCAGGTCTTGTTTTTAATCTTTTAAATATTCAAAAAATCTAATAAAATTATATGAAAAATCAATGATTTATTAAAAAACATTTTAAAAAGTATTATTGGAAAATGGTTCGATAAATGAAACAGTAAATTATAAATATAAGCCGTATATAAATAAATACAACTATGAAATTCAACTTAAAAACTAAAGTCACAAATTAAGACAGACGAAGTGAAAAAATGAATTGATATACCTATTCAATATTCATAAATTTGTTATCTAATCTCGTATTTACATTCACAGTTTGATAAATTCATAGATATAACACAATGTAGATATCAAGATGTATTAATATTGTATTGATATGATATACGATGTAGATATCTGTCATCTGATATATTACAATATTTATACATAATATACGCACATTATTACGTTCATAGTACATTATAGTAAAATCATTACTTGTGAATATATCAATGATCAATATTTTATTAATGGTTTTATTAGTTAAATAATTACAGGATTCACATTTTTCTGAGTCAGATTTGTCATTATTCTGTGTTTTAAGCTTAGAAAAGTATTAAGATTATAAAAATACGATAAAAGGTTATATGGTTATGTAGGACTAGGAAGTAGAAGGGAGATTATTGTTTACTATCATTTATCAGTTATCAGTTATCACACTGAAAAAACGTTTTCGTCGTTTTCGACTTTTAAGTTTGTTTATGAACTGTTGACTGTTTACACAAGACAATTAATATAAATAATAACTATTAATTATTATAGTGTGACACAATTTGTGTGTTCAATTGTGATTAGTAATTAAACATTTTATTCTGTAAAGGCGTTGGGAATAAACGTTGGAAATTGGTGTATTTAGTTTTTATAACGATATAATTAAATCACGAATTCCAAAATGAATAAAAGAAAACTAGAAGAAGAGATTTTTCAACAGAATAAGTTTGAAAAGTTAAATAATATAGCTGATTCGGAAGACGACGACGATGACAGTGTTGATGAAAATAATTATGATGTTATGCAAGAGCAGGATATTGAAGGTAACTACATTTCGATTTATGGATAAAATATAATATTCATGACTATATAACAATGTGTAATATTTATCGTTGAAAACAATTTTGGAACGTGTTGCACAATTTCTTACCAATTGTATTATTAATAAATCTAGGTCAAGAAGAAGGAGTTGTTGGACAAGATGGTGAGATACGAATCACACCATTCAATATGCAAGAAGAACTTGAAGAAGGGCACTTTGATAAAGAAGGAATGTATCACTGGAAAAAAGAAAAAGATGTACAGGATAATTGGCTAGAGAATATTGATTGGTGTAAAGTAAATATAACAACAGACATAGTAGTTCCACATTTTGTTAAGTTATGTTTTATAATTAATTGTATTATATGTTTAGATTAAAGATATGTCAAAAGAAAAGAAAAAAATTGATGAAAGTGAAGAAGAAAGTGTAGAATTTAATGTCATTGCTGCCTATAAAGAAATCTTAAGCATGATGGAGCCCAAAGAAGCCATTTCAAAATCATTAAGACGTTTAGGTGGAAACAAACGCCTTACAACTGCTGAACGATGGAAATTGAAAAAGGCAGGGTTGAGTACTGATGAAGGTTCATCTTCAAAAGTCACTAGACTTACAGAACTTGCTAATCAAATTCTAACAGCTAATGGCAACATGGATGTTTATCAAGAAACTTATGAGCAGATTTCTCAAATTGTAATTAATTCTTAAATTTATTTTTAGCTTTTTACATAAACTTCTTTACAAGACAATTCATTCTTAAACAATTTTTTTCTGCAAACAAATGTTTTTATAAGTTCAAATATTGATAAAATCAGAATTTTGTGGAAACTCTTAAATTTTAATGTTTTAGTCGTTTGAAGTTTTTTATTTTTACTTTATGTAATCTGATAGCGCATATAGACTTAGGAAAAATATCACCTGCTTGTTCAAATAGTTTTTATTAAAAATATTTCTCGATTTTTTATGTTAAACTACTTTAGGTAAATCTATAAAACTGTTTAAATGTTAAACTTTAAATAGTTATACTGTTGAAGGTTTCCGCAAAATTTTGATTTTACTGTAGTTTTCAGCACATAAAAATTAATTTATTTACATAAAAAAAAAAGTTGACTGAGAAAATAGTATTATATCTATTTTGAAGTTATTTTAGTGATAAAAACTAAATCAACTAAAACTGAATTATAAATTTGGTCACCTACTATTTGAAATATGTTGGTTTAGTTAATCTTTAAATTAAGTCTCATTCAAATTTCTGGTTATTAGTTAATAATCTGGTGGTTATGCCACATATCATGATGTAATACTATACTAGTCCACAAAACTAATGTAAAATGTAGGAATTGGTTAAACAGTTAATTGCACACTATTTTAATTTGATGAACTGATATATATTGTCATTATAATTCAGAGCTAATGAAATTTATAGTTTTTTTTTACTGGTAACAACTAATAATCTTGTAAAAGTTTTCATTACTATTATTCAATAATGTTTTAAATATTGGTTTTAAATTTTATTAACTGTTAATCAATTTTTTGTTTAATAGAATATTGGTAAAAGGATAGATAAATATATTAATAATAATACTATATATATATATATATACTTTATAGATTTCAAAATCAGAGAAGAAAGGTCAACCTTCAACTTCTATGTCATCAGATTTAGATATGTATGCGGAAGATTTTGATTTAAAAGAAAAGGAAAAATTAGAAAGTACAAGCCAGAGTGGTAAAGTAGAACAAGAAGAATCAGAAGAACTACTGACAGGTGTTTATAAAAATATTTTTTTGATCATCAATAAGTATTAAATAAATATTTTAATAAAACTTTGACAATTTTATCAGGAGAGTCATTACAGTGGGAATACAAATTTTCATTAGAAAGTAATGAAGTGTTTGGTCCATACAACACTGAGCAAATGCAAAAATGGAAAGTAGAAGATAAATTTAAGGAACCCATTTGGGTACGTAAATGTAATTCAAACAGCGATTTCCATTCATTTGTACGGGTTGATTTTGAACTTTATTTATAATTATTTTTAGTGTATGTATTTATTTAATTTACAGAGTGTAATGTGTATAGTTAAAAATTATTTAAACCTGGAATTTGAATGGTTATAGGCATGTATTAGAAAAAAAGAAAAATATTTAATTTCACATTTATTCTTGGTAACATTATGAATTACTGGTTTAAAATCTTTCAGCTTGTAATATTAATTGTTCATTTTCAAAGAATATAATTTAGATGTAATTTAATGTACCTATCCATAATATCTATATAGTTATTTTAGTGTTATTTACAGTTATGTTGTTAAAATAGTTAACACTTTGTTGAGTATTTAATTGAAAATTGTACAGTAAGTGAATTAAATACATACATGCAATTTATTTTGGTTATTTCTTTTCTTTAGCATTCTACATATTATCACCACTAATGAGCTACGAATACGTGCCTAATTTTTAGCTACTGCTTTGATCCTTGAATCAATGCAAACAATAATCTTAATTTAATTTAACATTAGAAATTACTTAGTAATTTTTTATTAAATAAATTTATAATTCTATTTTATAATGCTGCACAAAATTATTTTTCTCTAGATATTGGCTACAGTTGATTTTAAATTTGTTTAGATGACATCATGTGTATATCTATAATCTATATTATAAATGTTCAATTTTCTATACTCGGTAATATTTGATCATTACTAAACAATTTAGTTTAATTAGATTTTGATATTTTAATATTTTAACAAAGAGAATTCTAAACACGATTTATCACTCAACATATAACTTAAGTATTGTTTAGAAAAAATATCAGATGCTTCATTTTACAAGGTTGATTATTTATTTAAGAAGAGGTTGATTGAGATGGTAGACTTTCCAATTCATAATTTTATCTTGAGTGGTGTAAGTGATGTGTGTTAAAAAGTTCTCTTTAAAGTTCCCAACTTGGTCTTACTCAAGTATAAATATTTATATATGTTTTGAGACTTATAGTTTTTGAAGTGGCACTTAGCGGGAATATTATTTGTATTTGGTTTTTTTTACAATAATTCAAACACTTAATACCTTTTTTTAATGAATTTTGTTTTAATTTTTTATTAAATTATTTAATTAAACATATTTGTACATTTAAAATTTAAAATACCTAGACAACATTGTCTGGTATGAGGTTTATAATAAGTGGCAAAACATAGACTGACATTAACGACAGCTTAGTGTAGCAGCATTGATCGTAGTTGTCTTTATCTCACTTTTTACAATTATTTTTATTTTTAAACTTATAAAATATAGTATTAAACAGTTTTCTATAAGCATGTTAAACAATGTATTAAGTTAAAAGTGACATTATATTCATTATGAACCCAAATTAATAATAATTTTTAGTAAAACAAATGTATTGTAAACAATTTTTTGAATAATTATTTATAGTGACCATTTTTAAGTACAAAAATTAATTAGATTTTATAAATAAGGGTACTTATTAATAATTTACTAACCAAGCCAGATAATGCATTATAATTAGACCTATATGATTTTTTTAGACCATGCTCCATCGACTACAACACCAAAGATAAATATTCCATTTTTTTTATACATGACCATTCTCATATGCTATCTTCTTAGATAAGCTTCTTCTTTAGAAACTTCATCAGTAATTTGGGATATATTAAAAAATATTTAAAATTTAAAATAAATGCTTTGACTGATGTGAAGTAGACTTGTTTACCAATTCAAATATCTTTAGTTTATACTTTTTTAAATTGAACCACTAGGAGTACTTACGTTTTTGCCAGTTACTTAAGTTGTTTAGATGAAAAATTAATCTGGTTTTCTGGGGCTTTAAAAATAAAAACTATTTTGAATAATTTTGCTTAGTTGCTTAAAATTGTATTGAGTATTATTATTGTACGTCTTATTAATAAATAGTATTAAGTACTGCAATAAGACAGTGATGTATTCAAATAGCCTATCTGTTACGCCCCGCAATCAATACTATTGTACACGACAAATTTCCTATTGGCGGTAATTTATTCTTTGAAATATTTTGTGTATTCATTTACATTTTTCAATAAAATAACTCATTAATCATTTATTGCTACTTTTATTAAAAGATAAATACAAGAAAGCAAACAAATGAAAAAATTATAGTTTTAAAATAAAAAAATAAATCAACTATTTTAATAATGATACAAAATTGATGCAATTTAATCTACTTCAGTTATATATATATAAATAATATAATAACTATTTATACTTCTACTTATACATTGGATTAGAATAACATATTCAATAAAAATAAAGTACAATATTGAGCATTTTTGTATTTAGTGTAAGAACAACATAGTGTATAATATAAATTTAATAAATAAAATAATAAAATTTTTACTCAAACAATTATGATGAAATTCATAACTGTATGTCGAAATAAGGAAACCAAATGAAAAATCTTGTTGTATAACATTGAATTTTCAAACAAAATTGGACACACATTTAAATACATGTTATAAAAATCAAATTTTATACTTAACGAATATCACGTATATATCATGATGAGTACGAAAATAAGTATCAAGTTTTAATTATTATTTATATTGAATGATTAAATATAAGTAATATTATGTTGTGTTTCGTTTTTTAACTTCTTACTAGAGTATTAAATTTTGTTCTAGCGTATATAATCTAAACATAACACGTTGGTACATAACATCTATTACATTTTTTGCTTTATACAATTCATACTCGGTATACTTATATATAAGATAAAGTCTTTAAACAAATGTCAATTTAATGTAATATCGTAAACTTGTGTTTATAGAATATTGTACAAAAACTTGATTTTAAAGAAGTTTAATATTATATTATTGTAAACTATACATTTAAGAAACACGTTCATCAGCTTTGTTAAATAGGTACAGCTGGTATCACAAATTATCATTATGTCACAAACATAACAGCTGTAGTCTATAATCTATTTAGGTTCCTACATATTTTACACTGTACCTACGCTACCAAACAATTGGTCCCTATGTATATGTCCCCATATATCGCATGGTATGGATGTCGTAGTAAAGTATTATTATATCATTTGCTTGAATTATTTTATTAATAAATGATATTATATATACGTATACATGTATTATTAGACTATAATCGAATATTAATTTGGCAAGTGTACATTATTTGTCCACGGGCCATTTGAATATCTACTCGAGAAAAAATGAAGATTTTAAAAACAATACTAACAGTGTCAAATAACAGACAGCAGTATCTATATCAATTAACAGCATATTATACTATTGTATACAGGTAAATACCTATAAGCGTATTGTACATATATAATTCATTATATTATATAAAATTTAAGCTATTGTAACGACAATTATTAAACACATTAATAATATTATGTAAGCCTACAATACAAATCATAATCGGTATAATATAATAACGATACACATTGCATAATCAATTAAACAAAATAATAATAATAAAATACTATATAGTATTATGTGTGGTTGTGATATTTTAACAAGCATAGCATTGTACTAATCCCACTTCGTCGCAGTTCATACACTTGAGAGCGATCATTTCGGTGGTAAAGTGATTTCTGTGCACGGATTTCTTGCTACCGTTGCACATCGGACAGGGCAGTAGCCTGTAGCCCCCGCAGACTTGGCACGTTGTACAGGCGTCCGGACTCTGAAACCATACGATAACATTATATGATGACGTTTTCGAAAATTGATTTATTTATAACATGTAGGTATAAGAATATATTAATGTCATGACGTGAGCTCCCGCAGATTCTAAGGACGCCAGACGCAGTTGCTGCAGTGCTTGCGCGGGTTATTTTTAAGGGGGCGGCAGAAAAATAGCTTGACCATTAATTTTTACCATATTTTTTTAAAATATCCACTGGGGGTTGGTAATTTTATTTTAAAATAGTCTATAAGTGTCATTTTTAGACATTTAATTTTAGAGGGATGGATGAGAAGCGTCTGCGGAACATATTTTGGGGAAACTCGTCAAGCCGTCTAGACCGATGGCGAAAACCTCAATACTGGCTCTTTGGATAGGTATAAATAATATCAACATGTACTATATACGTATATCTACCGTCCACGTTAGCAAAGCTTACGTCTAGTGTATCGATTTTTTGGATACAACAATAATTTATAAGCCGCACGCGCTGTATTAGGGACCGGTACTCATCCTGTGTTACACGTCTGCTACACAGTTGTAGGTCGACGTGTCGTTTGTTCCGACGAATTACACACATACATAAATACGTACGTACACTGCACACAAATGCACTTCTCGCCTATTGAATTCGAGCCAAAGTCGCCGCATGTTAATGGTCTAAACGATCGTCTATAATTTTTTTTTCACTCGTTTTCATCGTCACTTTCTTCCGTTTGGCAATAATTGTTTAGCTATTATAAGCATACACGTGATTTATGACGATATTATAATCGCACGCGTTCAATTATCATGTATTGTTTTTGTATAAGCACTATTTTATCCCGCGGGGATTTTGGCTACAATAATTATTATTGCACATATATAGAATATCATCTATAAAATATACCTACTTTCTGCCGTAGGCGGAACTTGGTAAATATAAGTAGGCGGTGCAGAAATAAAATGTTATAAGAACAGGACCGAAAATCGATAAGACAAAATCGCATTGGAATGTAGATAAGTACACTCATAAACAATTCATTTTTCTTTTTCCACTTCATGCCGCTTTTCGGCGTTAAGAGTTTCTTAATTATTGTTTTGCTCTCGAATAATACTAATGAGGAAATTTTAAAATAACAATATGTACATAAAACATATATACTTGTATATCTCTTCTGCTTCGATTACTCGCGCGTCGTCTGATATTTTTTAATTACATTTAAATCGATTTAGCTATAATTTGTTTTGTTGTCCCACGTTTGTCGATAGCACGGAAAAATATTAATACTTGGTTTTACGTTTTTTGATTGCTGAACAATAAATTGATGTTTTTATTTCTTTTTATTGTAAACTGAGACATACAAAACGTTTTGTCTATAGACGAAGAATAGCTTCATTGTTTTAAATTATTAGGTGTGAAAGTTTTTTGATTTTAAAAAGAACAATTGTCCAAAGTCCTATCTACAGCACCGTTCTTGCAATAATAGTAACAACTAACATGGTATACATTACGCGTGATGGAATGTGTTATTATTTTATTATTCATAAATAAATAGAAGATTTGTATGCGACACTCCTGGAAAATTAATTTATTCCTATTACTTATTACATATTATTATATGTTTATATTTATATATATTAAGTTATGTACATTGTTGCGACGGCTATTATACCTACACGCGTGTTAATATTATTATTGCGTTATAATGGTGGTCGACAATATTTAAATGATTATTCCATTGTACTTAATATACACCTATAACAATGGTAGATACTGGAAATTTAATATTTATATACAACAGGGTAGTTATAATATATTACTTAAATTTACGTGATTTCTAAGAATAAAATGTAAATATAATAATATAAGGTCGTTGTCCTTTAGAAAAATAATGTATAATAATTTATAAAATATGTTATTCGTCGTTTACACACTAAAGTTTTTTATATAGTGGATGGATAAATTTTCTTTTTTATAATTATTCATAATTTATATTAGTAATCATAATTCATAATACTGTATATTGTTACATTATTGTGCTCTACACTGAATTAGTTCATAAAATTGTACTCATAATGGATTAGAAAGTGTGATATAGATTTTATCGAAGAAAAAAATATTTAGATTATTATTGAAGAAAATTGAATCTGTCGATCAAAATGTTATTATAAAATAAGAACAATATAATAAAACCATTTAAAATAATGGTCTCGAAAAAATGTCCTGATAAAATTAATATTATTGAAATAAAAAAATTTAACAAAACTGACAAAATGATATGTCAAAATTTATTAGAGATTAATATGTTATAGATTCCAATTACTGGTATGGGATTTTTAAAAAAAAATAAAATGTTCATGATGCGCATTTGACATTAAAAAAAAACATGTCCACATTCATTCTAGCAAAAGTGATTTTAATCGATACATTATTATTACTTTATACATTAGTTATTAGTGTATAATTTTATTGCAACTATTAAAATTGCAAAATATATAAAATTATTAATGCAAATAATTTTAAGTTTTATTGATTTAGAGAAATTGCTGATACCTGGTATAATAATATATGGTTATAAACTACAAATGATTTAAAAGCGTGATTCAATCATAATAAATGACTCATCCATCATTTTGAACCGTATTTGTTCGATGGTTCCTTTTTGTTATGTTATACATTGGATAACATCGTGACTCTGGTTGTGAAAAGTGAAAACATTAAGCATTGAACAAATTTGAAATATTTACATAATCCACGCGTAAATTCGAGTACAATTAAATATACATATTGTCTGTTGGCCAGCGGCTGTATGATGGAACAACAATGGCATGGGTAATAGATAGGTGGAGATGCAATGAAGTGAGACGCGAGAGATGAACGAGACCTCTGTCAGAGAAAATCTTTTCATATTAAAAAAACTATCGAGTATATAGTAGTCCGGAATAGGAAAGTTGGATTTTGTATTGTACGCGCGCGCGCGCGCGTGTGTGTGTGTGTGTGTGTGTGATGGCATCGGACAACAGGATATTCTTGTCTGCACCGGAAGGAACGTTCCGAATATGAAAACGGATTAATGAAACATAAATCTTTTGGTTTTACCTTAAATGGTTTTAAAATCGATCGGAGTTCCCCAGATTCGTTCAGTCTGTCTACAGCTGCTGCATCCTGAGAACAAAGTCAAACGTCGTTTAATCGTTAATCATTATCATGAACCAATGGTTATGATTATTGTAAACGGCTAATATGAAATATATTTTTTTTAATTGTTAGTTTGAACAAGACATCCAAGATCATTAAATTCAAATGTCGTAAGCTTTTAACAACATCGTTAGATCGTTACTTGTTTAACGGTACCGTATATACATTTATGTCATGATAGTACGCTAATAGTATGCTATTAAACAATTACAAGTATTGCGAATATTCCATCTATTCACGTACATACGTATAATATATTATAACAGTGAATGATTTTCGAAACGTGAATTTACTTTTCATTTTGTAGTTTGAGAGATGTTTATAGGATTTAAAAAGAAGGTACCTACACAAATAAGTCACTAAAAGATAATAAAAAAAACTAAAGTGGTTTTGCCGCAAACTTTAAACTACAATAACATTAAAACACGTTTAAGTATTTTTCGACGAAAGTACGCCGAACACATCAGTTGATCTCATTATAGAACATGAAATTTAATTAAAAATCTCATACAATCATGATGTGGACTGAGAGTTATTAATTCTTAGTTATTGTTATATAAAGAGACTGTGGGTTTAAATCCCAATGTGTAAATTTAAATTTCGAAACTTAGCTATCTCATTATAAATTTTAAACAATACACATTATGAAAAACAAAATTTCAAGGAAAACAAGACGTGTATATAGGTTATGATATTAAAAATATTAGAGTTACTTGTACTCGTAACCATTTGCGTTATGTTAATGTGAATTTGTACAATTAAATACAAAAATTAGATTATGTAAAATGACGTCAATGTTTAATGTTAATCTATTATATAATATATGTACATTGTACACGGTTAATCTCAAGCGATTGTAGTGTGTAAGGCTTTTAGTTCAATTGAAAGATGCATATACTTTGTACATATTATATAAGCAAATTATTATTCGGCAAAAATAATAATAATAATTATAAAAACGGAAACTGACTCCGATGAGATTCCCTTCGACAAATAGTTGCGGCACTGAAATTGTGTCGCCGCCGAGACGTTCTCTGATCTCCTTCTGAACTTCTCGGCTCATGAAGACATCTCTTTCCACGTATTTAACCAGATGAGTCCTCAGTATTTGCCTGACCTGAAGGCACCGCTGGTACGTCTCTCTGACTATGCCCATGGTGGTCGTGTACAACACCACTTTTCCGGCTTCTTTTTCCTGCCATGTCTGAAACAACACAATCGGATCGAATATTATTGGCACTGCCGAGCAAAAAATAACATTATTTTATTTCTATTCATACATTATGTTTGGCGATGCTACATATTATAGTCTGTGGGCGGATAATACTGATAATAGTGATTATTATATTATTATATTATATTATGTGTGTCTATATAGATTAGTATTCGAATTGCGGTCGTTTATTACCAGCTGTAATTATTTATTGTGTTTTGTTTTTCAGCGAAAGGATAATGTTTCAAATTTCGTTACTAGAATAATATAATGGAAAATGTTCAAATATTATTATTCATTTTTTTCCCTGTATAACTTAAATCGCGCGTGGACTGTTTATTCGGTTGTCTTAAAAGACACGACGTTGGCTGCTGATACTCGCGTTCGGTATTCAGGTCAAGGAATGTGCGAAAGGTGAAGGTTCCGGCATGTGCATGAGCTTAACCGTTTACCGTATTAATATATGTTTGTCGGATTGGGTTCATTTTGGAGAGGTTAAATTACCAAAAGCGAGATAAAAACGTAAGTGTAAATATTGCTGTGTTCTTGAATTAAGTATATTTATCATATTATATTCGATATGTGTGGGCGCTATAGTCTTGTAACCTACGGACAGCTGGTGATAAATGCGTAGTCGAAATTAAACGCGATCGAGTCGACAATTCAAATATTCGTGTTAAAAAAAAATATTAATACTAACATGTTCGTGTCGAAATAAGAATCGAACGTAAATCGTTATGAAAAGTTAAACGCATATACGATTGCAGTATTGATTTCTTTGAAATATAAATACTAGCTCTTATTATTGATAACTTTAACTAGGTAATTTAAATGTCTGATTTGTAATTGAGCATGACTTGTTTTGTGCCGGTTATTTTGACTGTTGTGTAAGTAAAAATATATTAATGTATGCGTTTGTATGGGTGGGTTTATTGTTGGAAAATAAAAAAAATTACAAATGTTTGTTTTACGCAAAATACCACAGTATATAACCAAAAATATACGTATAGGACATAGGTATAATATATCATAAAATGTACGAATTAGTATAAAATGTACACTCGCACAAAATCAAAAGCTTTGATGTTACGTTACCTATAAACATTAAACATATTACGGTATTTGTTACGGTATAAACTTGTCACTATATTGCTAGAAACTCATAATACGAATTCCAATGTTGTCGTGGATGCCGACTATATTGACTACAACATTTTTATTAATTATAATTTATAATATATATTTTTATTAGAACATGCGTATATGTGTGCGTTTAAAATTTACAGTATATTATGCATATTGAATAGACTCGTATTATATTATTAACTATAAGATGTATATATGCATAATACATTGATGACCGATCGACCTCCACAAGGAGATTCGGGTGAGTGGGCTTGTATTAGACGACAACGAGTTTAAAAAGAAAGATGAGATAAAACGGCAGCGCGGCGGGGAGAATCGACCGACAAGGACGTAGATTGAATGACCCGTTTCGCAATTAAAATATACTTGCTAGTGTGTGTGTGTACCTATATACATGGATGAATTTATATGTGTATAGTAACAATAATAATAAATAAATAATAATAATAATATAATAGCGGCAACATCGACGGCGGTCTGGATAAAATGGAAGGCGATTTGCGCCCGGAGGCTGTACCCAATATATATAGTATGTATGCGAGAGGAGACCGCTCCTTTTTATATATTATAAGTGTGTGTTTCCTTCTTATTATTTTTTTCACGTTGGGTATCATTGACCCGATCGCAAGAGCAGATATAGGTATACGCGAAGATTTCTGTTCGCACACGAGCGCGTGCGATCTTTCGTTTTGTAACATCGTTTTGCATTCCTCGCGACCGATCGAACATAACAATAATAGTAATAATAATATTTATTACAATAATACGTACACGCTTATAATTCGTTCTCTCTTTCTCTATCATAATTCATAAACATATAAATTATAGTTCACTATTGATGGATCATTTGTTGTGTGTATTCATTGATTATAAATTGTTCATGATGATAAATAAAGTGGTTTTGAGAGAATTTCCTATGATTATTTTCGTTAATGGTTGAACAGCTATATTTTTAATTTCAAAACGTATTAACATGCATTAAATTATAAAAAAAAAGACTCCAAAAACCTATGAACACTTAACTCAAAAAATGAAAGAAATTGAAGAATTCAGCAAGTTAAGCATTTTAAAGAATTAAACAATTAAAATTACGCTCATCGATTTTACTGGTTTAACAAGAAGATGGGATAAAGCTGAGGAATATATTTATTGAAAATAAAAATGTAAGTTATTCATTTAACATTTTTTTTCCAAATTTTTTTTTTTTTCTATTTTATATTCTTCATATTTTCTTTAACCGCATTATGTGTTCTCAAATATTATTATCGAATATAATATTATAATATAGAATGTTTCACTAAATTTTTCATCGAATATATATTTCACTACCCGTTTTCATTCTGAACATAAAGTACTTAAATAACTATAACCTATTTAAATATCAAATGAAAACTTATACTTCAACATATAAAATATTGACGTATAGTAGCCTCAGATTTTTGAGTAACACGAGAGTAACATTTTTATCTCGTGTTAATGTTGCTACCAAAATTAATACTCAAAACCATGAGAACAAAAGAAGATTTAGACTAAATTAATTTTTCAAAATGGAATTTCCAAATTATAAATCAGGATAAAAAGGGATAAACAAACATGGTGATTGAAATTATGTACAACGCCACACTGGAAAACAATTTCTCGTATTATTTATAATTTAATATTTTGTTCCGTGATACATACATAATACATATTATAATATACCTATGGAGTGTGAATCACCAAATATGCTCATCTTTATTTTTACTTAAATAATAAATTTATTCAAATTTTGATTTTTTGTTTCTTTTTTTTTTAAATATAACTACTTAAAGCTTATTTTATTAAATTTTTGAGATTTAAAAATGTATCTTGTGGCGATACAAATTTCTGTTTTTAAATGAGAGCCCTTCTTTTAATTAAACAGTTAATTATTTAGTCAGTGAATATTTTTTTGGAAAATGTTGATGTATCTGATTCAAAACTAGAACGGCTAGTTTTTTAGTTTTTAAACTGTTAATATTCAAGAGAATGACATTCAAAATATTGTTCGTAATAATAATAATAATAATATAGATACTCTAAAATCTAGATTACCTAATAAAATTGATATTAATTGGTAATATTGTAACTCGTATATTTATTATACTTGACCAATCTTACAAACTATAAATATTAATAGATTAATAATTATACTAGTATTTTCAAAATCACCATATCTTCCAAATATTTTACTTTAGTTCATAAAGTTAAATAACTCAACAACTAATTGTCTGTATTTTGATTTTTATACTTCAAAATCATCTGCTTATTATAGTTTATAGTAGAAAATGTGGGTTTTTAATAAATGAGAGTATAATGTAAATGTAGATACAGGTTATTTCATTAGTAGGCAGTATAAAAAATTTCAAAGATTTGAAAAAAATTAGTGTTTATCTGAGAATTCCAAAAATCATAAACTAGAAAAAAGGGGCGATTCGCTTATACAATATAAAGATATATTTTAATTAGCGGTGTTCGACATTTGATTTCGGTAGATTTCCAATAGCCGCGGGCATTTAAAACCGTCTGTGAACAAATTATGGCTATAATTTATTTATTATATCATGTATGCGCAATGCTATACACCGTATTAATTGTTGTTGAATTGTATGATAAATTATTATATTATTATTATTGTATCGAAAAGTTAGGTCGCCGGGCGCGTTTCTCGCGGCGGAGAAAAAACGCATAACACGCTGAGCTCCACACCAGTCTTTTATCCTTGCGTACTTTTATAGTTCATGTACGATGTATTTTAATTTTTAAATTGTAATAACACAATGTACGATACAATGAACGGTTTAAAAACAAATCGAGTTGCGTTCATTTGGTTTTAGAAAAATTAAGCGGTTTTTATTCTTTCTTCTCGTTCGTTCTTTTTTTTTTTATTTCTTTTTAATAGTCATAAATACGTATTATGCTAGTTCTTTATAATGTACCTATAGTAATATTAGGAGCGGGGCGTATATCATGTAATTAATTTGAATTTTTTTTTTTAATTTTACTTTCTGCGTGTTCGCATTTATACGTGCGAAATGTTTGAATAATACGCAATGTATGTATTATATAGTTTTGTTCAATATGCAACACTTAAACTTAGAAATAAGACGTATTAACACTTAAAATATTTACTTTAAATTGTCGATTCGTTAAGACGGGAGAGCGTAAATATACTCGTTCACTTACAAACATAATATTATAATTTATTTATGCGTTGTAGACTTGTAACAGTTTATCAAACAAGATAAATGTCATAACATTTTGTTGTTTTATAACGTCATAATTTGCCATGATAAATTATTATGAATTATTAGCACATGACATTACTGTGGATTACGTTTCCACTTGGGAGGTTCAATAAAAAATAAATATTCAGGACAAATAAATTGTGTTAGGTGGTTTTTTTTAATCAAATGTTAAATAAAACAATATCATAATCCATCAATATATAACTCCTTGAGCTGAATAAAAAAATGTGCATTTTAATTAATAATTACATAATTTTTGATACGAATTTCTACTAGGTGGTATGAAAAAAACTCATTCATTACACTAGTTTCTTCAATACGTATTTGACATAATTCACCACGAGCATGAAAGAAAAAACTATTCATTTCAATATAATATATCATGATAGGTGTGAAGTAGTGTATTTTTTTGTTGTTTCACGACATTGTTAAATTAGTTTTTCTGATTATTTTACATGGACAGTCTGTGCCTTTTTTACAGGAAGAAAACTTCACAGATTTGTCTTTTTTAATTGTAAGAATTTCTCACGCAATGAATTGTAGATAAATTTCTCTATTACTTATATCAATTAAGTTATG